GAAACCAAAAAACACTGGCCCTGCTCATGAATACTTTAAAGATAAAATTTTATACTTTGTTAATATTTATTTGATTTAGCTCGAAATTTCATTGCTCCGTAGTTGCAAATTAAATTTCAATTTATCACATTCTTAATTAGTTTAAAATCGATATTCTAAATCTGGAATATGTTCAAGTTATTTCTAATCATATCGAGATATTCACATATATCCAAAACTTATTCAAAATATAAGTTAACACTTAAGTGAAACTTACAAAGATGGAAAAAGAAATTCATGTTGTGAAGGTAACCATATACCACGAATGAATCGATCAATCGATGACATTATTGATTCACCACAACCTAATTAATATAATTTGAATAATGTTTCAAGAATTTCTTTTTACCTCTAATAGCTCCAATGAGTACAACAATAATATAACTATCAGGATATAAAATTAAAGTTAAACGAACACCATCATAAATTTTTTTTGTTCGTTGAATTTCTTTTCCAACACCCATAACAAGACGAATAGGTATAAATCGTAATAGATAATTAATAAAATCAAATGGGAAGTAAAATACAGAATACCAGCAGACTGTAGCTAATAGAAGATGTTGATGGTGAATAAAATCTTTTAATGGACTTTCACCAAGTAATAAATTCGTTATAATGGAACCGGAAAAACAGAGTAACATTGTTGATATCCAACATGATAATGGATGACGACGTGTAAAATTTTGTGTGGCTAAATGAAAAAAAAAATCAATGATTATATCAATATTGAAAACAAAAACAGTGCGAACTATTGTTTTTTTTTGCTAAATGCTATGATAGGCAGATGTATTTGTCACAGCATGTGATAACAAATGGACAGTAGACTATAAATTGTCTGTCATTTGCTTCACATGTACGCACCGTGATATATGATAATTAAAATGTTCTATTCGACATTGTACATGTATTGTATCTCACAAACTGAAAAAGATATAATGCACAATTTTTTTGCAGATAGCTTTGTGTTTTGTAATTTAATACTTTGAATTTATACATAGCAAACTTTGAGATTCTATACGAGTTTGACTCAGCCTATATTTCAGACTGATATTGATAATATATAGATATTTCTTGGACGAAAAAAAAATATTGTTACACGATAAAATTTAACGATAAATTATGTAATTTATCAGAATACTTTGATAAATTTATTATCATGGTAATCATGAGTTCGGATTAGATCAGATAATCCAAATGCTTACAAAAAACAATATGAGAGGTAAGTTGTCGTTCATTAATAGAAATTTCTCAAGAGTAAATTAGTCGTTGAATGATTTCATCGAGTCAGACGAAATATTATTTGTAGCTCACATCCTTAATTTTAGTCTATTGTTAACAGTGCTTGACTTCAGTAATACTCTATACTGCTGAGTGCAACGGACATTCCAATCGATTTTTGGATTGCGAATGAAGAATATTATTGCACTGAAAAGATACTTCGTTTTTTGATTTATTGTCTAGTTGAAAATTGAAAAAATATTTATATTAGTAAGCTTTCTTGTTCGTTATCTAATGTAAGATGAATAAATCTTCCTTGTAGGAAGCAGTAAAGTTCGAGCCGGAAGAAATCTAGACATATCCGGCTAGTGCGAAGATATTCTTTGGACCGAATCGAACATAATATATACATGTGTAGATATTTCTACATCTACAATTCATGTGGCTGATTTCAGAGTTATAAAGTGCTGTTAATTTGTAAAAAAAAATCCAAGACGGATATTTTCGAATGCATTCGGATTGTGAAAAAACGAGATTTCATATTGAAAATATAAGATAAATTAATAATAATTGATAAGCTTTTGACATATAAAGGTTTCTATCTTCAATATATAGATCTTTTCATAGCGTAAAAAAAAGAAGTCATCAATAAAGGACATCCAAGAAATGGTTGGAGAGATAAATCAACCAAAACCGGATAGTTTTTAAGAATTTTGTAAAAGAAACGTTTTAGATCCGAAGTCTAGAAGGAGAGATTCAATTAATGTTGCAACCAATGCAGATGCCGGTGCAATTAGTGCTCTCCATTGACTCAGAATCGGAGAAGTTCAGACAGAAAATAAGACGAGATTAAACCAAGAGGAAAAAAAATCGAAATTTCATACTTCAGCGTATTCCAAAGGTATGTCAAAGTTGCCCTCTAGAATCTGTTAACTGTTTTCAGACTACTCTCAACTTGCATCACGAGCATATAAGTACGAAATATTCATTTTTTTGTTTCCTTAGATCAAACACATAGGGAAAATTTTTCGTTATTTTTAAGCATTTTATTTTTAAAGAAATTCAAATCAGTTGTCTAAGCGGATAGGAAGAAAAATCAAGAAATTCTGGATCGGAGAAGCGAAAAAAAACATATTTTTGACCGAACGTTCTTGATGCATAGCATCAATTGAGTGTTTCCATTTACCGCTATCAATGTTATCGATACGGCGACCTATTAGCTCAATGTATTTCTTATATCAGACAAGCTCCAAAAAAAAATGATCAATTATTCCTTACTGATTGCTATCTTTAGCTTTGTTCAGAACACTAGTCTTATATAGAATTTCCACATATAATGCGCACTATTGAAAAACTATATTGTATTTCATAATATAATACAACATAAAGATATATTTACTAATAGAAAATGATAATTTCAGATATTTCTTATTTATATATTATTTCAAAAATAATCAATGAAAGAAAAGGAAAATCAATAGGTCAAACCTGTTTGATATTGTTGTATATCATCTCGTACTTGTAAAGCAGTTAATAAATAATGACACATATCAAATAATGGATATATGCGTACATGTGATAACTGAGATCCAATATAGATTAATAATTCTTTATTCATTTCTTTTGTGTTTTCTTTTTCGCTTATATGTCACCGATTCATTCAATTCAAAACAAAGGAAAAGAAAAAGAGGAAAAAATCTAAAACAAAATTAAAATTCACATATCAATATTTTTTCATCTTTGTATGTTTTAGCTTCATATAAAATTTCTTTTTCGTTCTCTGAACGTTTTAATACAATCATACTTTCACCTTGAGCTTGAATATCATTCATAATATTTAATATACCTTGACAACAAATAACACCATATCCAAGTAAATCATTTCGTTTATTTAATATATCTATTCCACGATGTATTGCATAATGAAACCATGCATTTGATAATGAATATGTTTTTATATGTTTATTATTGACATCTTTTGGTGTATCATGTTGACGATCATAACCTGGCCAAGGTATATTCCATTCACCAATATTTAAAGAAATAATAATAAAAAGAAAACGTCGATTTGAATTGAATAATTCTTTTCTATTATATTGTTCATAAACTTGTGGCATCCAACTATCAGCACATATCAATATAGCAATATCAATATTTGTATTTGGAATTGAATAGATTGATGGTTGTTTTTGATAATTATCAATGAAACTAATTTCATCATAAACAGGATACTGTTTACCAGATTGAATACATATGGAACCATAATTTGGTTCAAATACATATGACATATTATAAAAATTATTTTTATTTATATTTTCATACATAAAAGTTGAACCAGCAACAATAGTACAATTTGTTTCACAAGCTAATTCACTAAATAATTTTGTATAAATGTTATATGTTTGATCAGCAAAAAGACTAAACCAAGAACGTTTTATTAAACCTAACCATGTAAATTTGGAATGATAATTTTTATCGATTTCTTTAACAAATAAACGAATATGAGTTAATAATGTATAACACATAAATAATATATGACGATTTATTTTTGTAGTTTGATAATTAAAAAAAAAGTTACGTAAATATTGTGGCATTGGAACACACATTAAATAAAGCCATGTGCCTGTACATTCTGGAAGAATAACAAGTGTTGGATGTTGTGCACGTATTCCATTAAATAGGATATTGTTTGTCGCTAATGTAGGTTTTATACTTAGATGAATACGTTCTAGAAAATATTGTTTTAGGATTGCATAAGATTGGTAATGATATTGAGTTAAAGAAGTTTGTAGACAAATGATTTGTAATGGTTGTTGTTCTTCCATTTCATTAAAAGGCTATTCATTAAGCAAAATGAACAAACAATTTTGTCTGTTCTGTCCTTGTATTAGAAAGAAGAAGGTGGTATCTATTGGGTATTGACGTCGTTTATTGCTGTGTCTCACTCGCTAGCCTCATTATCTTTTTCTTATCTGTTATGAAGAAAAGAAAGATTTTTCTTTCTTACTGATATCATTTTTAGCTTGATAATAACAGAAAACCACAAAGAAAGGAACCCGATGATAAATATCGAGAGACAAGGGAGAATAGAAAAGAGAATTATTATGGCTTTGGTAAACATTACAACGAAAGAGGGAGTGATAAGAAATATTGATATACAATAGATGGATATATTCACTGGATGCATTAGATGAACAAATAACATGTTTGAAGAAATTTTCTTATTCATCAATGATGTAAGATCTAAACTATTACTGATTGATGAAAGAACATGATAGTATTGAGATGATAGTAATCAGTTAATGAAATTTATTGATTTTGTGATTAAAAAAAAGATATAAATTGTATTTTATCATTTTTTTTCTTTCGTTGCCATATTACAAAAAAATCGATAATAGAGATGATTCTTAGGGATCTTTTGATTACTCCAATCCAATTGAAATATTTAATAAATAAACATTAACATTCGTTATAGATGATAAGGAATATTCTAGAAAAATCTAATTGCATTATATGGTGATCAAAACTTCTGAAAGATTGTGATCTCGCTTTTGTCAAGTTCATTGATATTTCAATCAATAATTTTTAGTCTAATAAGATATATTAAAAAACAAAATTAATTTCAGCAGTTTCAAATAATTAGAATAGATCTGTAGTGGTTTGATAGTAATTGATTGATAATCAAGTTCGTGAAATTCTATTTAATGTTCTGAAAAGTCCATTATAATACGTTACATATTTCACAAGTAAATAGAAAAATCTACCTACGTTAAAGAATGATTATTCAATGTATAAAAATTAAGCCGAGATAAAAATAGTGAAGTATAAAATTTCGTCAAAGGTTCCATGAGACTTTAACCCAGAAGTCTCTAGTGTAGAATCCATCAGATCGAAAACTTTTCAGATCTAGTCCAATCACACTTTGATATTATTAATAAAAATTTTCTTATCAATTTCAAAATATTGTCACTATTTTGATTTGTTAATTGTTCAAAACTTTTCATATTACCCAATTTTTTTCAATAATTTACGTTAATTAGACATGATGATCATCCTAGAATCTTGTCAAAGTTTTCTTCATTTTAGAAAATGCATCAATATTGAGTTTTTGAAAGTTGAAAGTTAAAAAAGAGATTCGAACAAAATTATTTGCTAAAATTTTTGTATGTAAATGAAAAGATGATATGATCCATGTCAAGATGTATACAAACATCTTTGAATGGCTAATCACAAATGACAGTTATCAATGAAGGTAAAATAGCACGTGTAGAAATGATGAGAGAATAGGAAAAGATCGTTAAGAATATTTTGTCCTTAATAATAGACAAAGATTTTTTAGCTTATACTAATTATTGAGATAATTTAAATTACTTCATTCATCTTCACAATAATGTCTACTACCATATTAGATGTTTGACATTTTCATGCAACATTACTTCTTTCAATGTTGACACGTAAGAGAAAGAAAATCACGACAGTTTCATAACAAGACTTATATAGTCCGATGAAAATTTGTCCGTGCTTCGTAATGAACTAAGACTATGCAAAAATTAAACATAAATTATTATTTTTATGATGAACAAGCAACATACATCAAGTCCAGTTAATAGCTATCGATTAGTTGAAATTTCTAATAGAGATGCAAGAGTGTGAATCATGCGCGAAAAATAAAATCGAGATTAAGATACAGACAATGATAAACAATAAAGTGTTCATTTGCTATGACATATATTGTTAATAATGGAATTCATTTTTTTGCTTTGCTATCCGCCGATGTTTCTATTAAGGATGAATAATTAACATCTTTTTCTTTTGTTTTTTTTTTACAAAACAAAGAAAAACAAAATATTCGATAAGATAACGGTTATCAAAGTTTTATAACGAAAAAAACGCTAAAACAAGAATGCTTTATTGCAGAAAAAGATGCTCGTTTTTAGAAAAAGACATGACGAAACTCATATCGAGCATATTTTATGTGATTAAGATTTTTTAAATAAAAGCTTTTTTGTAAACAGTCGTGTAAATGACTTATTGCTTATATCCGCTTACTTATTTTTTTTTTCTTTTTATTATTTCTCTATTGTCAGTTGCTTTAGAAAATAATAATAAAATCTTCTTAAACAATTCTTGTATTAACGACTTATACTTTTCACTATTAGTAAAAAAAAACATTATTTTTTAGAACAGGATTATTTTCAAGTCGAATACTCAAAAAAAAAGAAGACATTAGTAATATTAGTTCTTGATTATAGAAAATTGATTTCTATTGGGCTTAAGCATAATTTTCGGAATCAGCATACACACACATACATCAAAAGTTGTATAATATCATCACAACATATAATGATTGTATTCTATATTTTATTAACATTCAAAAATTATCACAACACCAACAACTAAAAAATAGTTAAGCAAAAGAAAACCAACAGAGATAGATATAAACCATAGGTCACATCGTTTAATATTCAAATATTTTTTGTAGTTATTTAATACCGTCAATCAATCCTTTAGATCAAAGACTGACAGAACTGTTTCATGCTACTGCTTACGTCTCACAGAACTTTACGGGCGCGTATTATGCCATTATATCGCTCGAGAGGATCTGCACGACGATGGAAATAGCTACTAATTAGCCTTTACGAAACTTATTGTTAAAGCTAAACGAGACAAAGGCATGAGCAAAGATGCGAGACAGTCTCATCGATCTTTTCTCTATATTTCCCAAAAGACAAATAAAAACCAAAATAACACGTACCAGATGAATCGGACATTTCATTTTTTTAGCATTTGTTTGTTGATTAATAAACTATTATTGATAGCTTTAAATACTTTAATCATTTATTATCTACCATAGACATTCATAACGATCTATATTATTTAATGAATCTTGAACCAATAAACAATCAGTTTGCCAAAGAAGTATGAAGAAGAAGATGAATGTGATCAATAATACAATTGATCCGATTACTTGACTATAATGAAGAAATTTTGAACAATCCATCATTGAACTATATTTTCAAACATAGACAAATAAACGATATTTGATATACATTGAGCGCCTGAATATTGATTGATTATAAAAATACAAAAATATATTAGATAATAAATCGTTATTTATCAGTACATTTTCTTCGTATGAAAAGTTGAAAGATACGACCCAAATCATTCGTTAGCGAAGTGACTTCGTAAAAAGAGAAAATGTATGTTTAAGTTACTTTAGATACCTCTAAAAAAATCAGCACTAGTAACTTTTGCTCTGGGAAGTTACCAACGTGACAGAATAAGAAAAAATTTTCTTATAATGGTATAATCAGGGGGGGAGGACAGAATTTCGGCCCAAGGAATTTTCGGCCCGGAACTTCGGCCCGGTCCCAAAGTCCGGCAGCGTTTCGGCCCGGGCCGAAATATCACCGGAAATCCGGTCCAGGACGAAATTCATCTCACTGCTATTCATAAAAAAAGTCCAACTTCAATGAATAGTTAGCGCATTTCGTAGTGCTGAACAGTACGACATAATGCTGAGCAGTACGACGTAGTGCTGAGCAGTACGTCGTAGTGCTGAGCAGTACGTCGTAGTG